AGATAACGAAATTTTTATGAGAACCTTTTTTGTAGCTCTCAATTCGCCCCACAAAAAAGGTAATACCAAAAATTTCGCTGTCTGCCTTAGATCTCGAGATATTCACCACTGAGTCATAATAAAAAAAATTCACGATAAAAAATCAATGAAGCGTCCTCGCAAGAAGGCGTAATTCCTCTTCCCGAAGTCTTATTTTAGCCTCACGCCAGCGTTAATCCCACGTGTATAGTTGTTTGCGTCTCTCGCCCTGGGTGATTCCATGTTAATTAAAAACAAATGTCTGGAAATTTGATAGATCGTGGTAAATGGCCTGCGAAAGAGGACGTGTGTTAATACGCCCCGGAAAAAATGACTCCCTCACGAATCGAGAGAAGAAACACTGTTGACATGTTTACAATTAGAGGAGAGCTATCGAGCGGAAGTGGTCGATCCACTCAGTGCTCAAGTCAATTATCATCTCCTTTGAAATATTTCCGTTGATCTAGTCTGTGGATTGTTTAATCATCGAAAAGGCGGCAATTTGGGGGTCATTTTTGAGGGGTTAAATTACTCGGCGAGTCTTTGATCACTGGTGTGGTTGACGTGTTGCCAATTAATTTTGAAATTAACTCGGGCAAACTTGTAGACGTGCTTATCGCCTTCGGGGATTGGTCGCGGGGGGGGGGGGGGTGAATGCATGGGGATATGTCCCACAAAATTAATCGTTGTCTCGTGCACACCGTGGTGCACTTTGCGGCATCGCCCCAAGGGGGTACTTCGATTCATATCACCTGGGGCCAAACTTCGCGGTCCTTTTTGCCGTTATTATCACGAGATTGTGAGGATGAAGTGGAATTTAACATGAATTTTGGGATTTTAATTATGTCACTCGGAGAATTTGACTTCAGAACTGCGTAATTTAAGACATTAGACGCAAAAATGACTCAAAAATGTTTGGGAGACAAGAGAATTTCATAATGTCTTGAAATACGAATTATCAAAATTGAGGCTTTTTTTGGTTTCAATTCAAGACACTTGAAGATTGAAATGTTTTTGTGCAATTTATTGGAGTTCTGAATTTATTGAGAGGTGGCAGATGTCAAATGAATTTAACTTACACAGAAGTGCGTGAACAACAAATATTATTCTGAGGAAAAATAGTTTTCATCGGTATTTTTTATCACAAAAATTGTTTTACTTTATAAGTTTTTTTGTCATAAGGGGTATTTGGAGATTTATCTATTTTCTCCCAATTCATTAAGAGGTGGCAGCTGTCAAATGAATTTAAATTACGCAGGAAAGCGCCAAAAATTTGAATATTATTCTAAGGAAAAATTGTTTTCGTCGGTAATTTTGATCACAAAAATTCTTCTACATAATAAGTTTGAAAGAAAAGATCCTTATGTAAGACATCTAGATTATCTAGACTGAATGTCCTAACGTCTTACCTTGAGGCACTAAAGATGGGACAAAACGTCTCAATTTGATGATTTTTTTTCATAGTCATTTCAAAGAAATTTTTTCAGGCTTCAAAATGAAACTTGATTCATCCCAATCGTATCCCTAGATCAGGAGATATTGACGTTTGAAGTAGATCCATTTCATTTTCAGATTAAAAGTTTATGAAATTAACTTTTAATTTGATCTTTCCACCCCTAGAGCAATCAAAGGAATCACAGGCATAAATTCCCAATGTAATTCCAAAAATACTCACTGGGTAATAAAATACATCAGAATGCTAAATGAAAATCTCACCAGTTCACCAGAAAACTTTATGATGTGAATTTAAAACGTCAGCTTGAAATTTATCGTTAATTAAACTGTTGGGTATTAAGGAGAAAATGAGTATTTAAGAGGGCAACCCCGTGGTAGATAAGGAAATTCAAAAAAGACGGATGGAGTTGGGGAGAATTTTGTAGTTGAAACGAAATTAACGTTGGAGTAAAGTACATTCTTGGAATTTTCTCTGCCGTTGAAATGAGAACGAGGGGCGGGATATTTGTCTCCGTTGGACGGTAATTACGTGACCAATTTACCGGGGGAATGTCTTAACTCTCGTGGCTTTCAGGGATGCAAGTGGACTTGATGGTGAGCTTTGAGTTTTGGTATTGTTTTCTTATTTGGACAGAAACAAGAGCTTCTGAAATTGTCATGAAATGTCCATTCATATTTTTAGAAACAAACCATTAAAGAACCAAAGAATTTTCCAGAATTGTTATAATTTGACAGATCCATCACGTAATTAAATGAATTTATTAAAATGATTGATTATTTTCCGCAATTAAATTAACTTGATGGAATGAAGGTTTGAATGCTTTGCGGCAATTTTATCAAACGAGGAGGGGATGGAAAAATCTGATCAAATACGAAAATAGAACACAATTATGTCCCGGAGAAAGAATAATATCCCTTTGGTATTGTTTCCTTATCTGGACAGAAACAAGAGCTTCTGAAATTCTCATGAGATGTCCATTCATATTTTTAGAAACAAACCATTAAAGAACAAAAGAATTTCCCGGAATTGTCACAATTTATCAGAGCCATCACGTAATTAAATAAATTTAATAAAATGATTAATTAATGACCCCAATTAAATTAACTTGATGAATGGAAAAATTTAAAGAAATACAAAAATAGAAATGTCCATTCATATTTTCAAAAGCAACCCATTGAAGAACAAAAGAAATTACTGGAATTATTATAATTTATGGGATCCATCACGTAATCAAATGAATATAATAAAGTATTTAATTAATTTCCCCAATCAAATTAACTTGATGAAACGAGAAAGGGATGGAAAAATCTGAAAAAAACACAAAAATAGAAGAAAATTATTTTCCCAAGACAGTGGAAAATATCTCCTGTCAGTTATACTTCCTACGAACTAACGTGCACGAACTCTCCGCACTGACCAGTCTCTTTATTTCCCCCGCCGCCGCGCCCTCTTTCAACCACTGGTATCCCCTCGCTCACGAATTTTATCTCTTTTTGCATTCTCCACTGTTCCACTGAGACACAAAATACCCAGCATCATCTCCACCATTCCTCTCCAGTACAGCTGCAGGCACCCTCCCCTCCTCAATCATAAAATTCTCAAGATTTTTCATACCGAAACACGAACCGAGAAAATTGTTTTCGTAGGAAATTGCACAAAAATTTGTTTTCTATAGCCGTGTTATAACGTTCTGTATATTTCATGCTTGTGCTTGCTGATAACCATCTGCAAAGAAGCTGGTGGTGTGCCGCACAGTATATACTCTTCTCCCTCGTCCTCCCCTCCTTGGCGCTCTTGGTAAATCTTTTTCACGTGTTATTCTAAGGCTGACGTTGAATTTCCCACGCATTCAACCGTCGCACCAAGACATTCCTCCGGGGTATTCTACCAACTATTATTATTATCAGTATATGGATTTTTTAGTTAACACCAATTTCTGATTCTACATTATTTAGCAGGTAACGGGGTTTTATTTTGTTCATTAAAATCGTGAAAAAGTAAAAACGAAATTCGATTATTCAAGACAATTAATGGTAAAGGAAAGAAGTCAATTAAAGATGAATAATGAATAATGAATGAAGAATTCCTAATAATTACGGAGCTTTGATCAATCTTCTTGCACTTGGCAGTTATGAGGACGCGCATTTAAGGTTATTTTGAAGTAATTTGAAGCTATTCTGTATTTTGTAAACGAAATCAAATTTACGAGATGCATAAAAGTA